CGCGGGGGGGGGGGGGGGGGAATGGGTCCAACGCCCCCCCCCCCCTCCGTCGGGGAGAGCCGCCCTCCCCCCGTCCGGGAGAAAAAGCACAATTCGTCGGGGAGAAAAAAAATTATATGTATTTTCTACATATTAGTAGACTTTAAAATCGATAAAATAAGCCTTTAAAACTCCTAAATTGTTAAATTTTTCGGGGGCTTCACCCTCTGGACCACTTTCGAAACCTTTTAATCGAAGCTCGACCACGCTCACATTGCTTTCGTCGGTAAAATCTGACCCCTCGTCGGGGGCATCGGCCTCGACACCCCCCTAACGTCGGGCAAATCCTGGCGCCACCCCTGAGTAGTGTACATGCAAAGAGACTAAATAAGAGTGATTGATTTAAGTTTATCTTATTTGTTTTTCATAGTTCGAATACGTCACAAGCTGATCTATAGATAAATAATTATTTTTATAAATGTTAATTTACACGAAATAGGTATAGCTATATAAGCAGGTATGATTATGATTACCAGGATAAATTAAAAACCTTTCATGATGAGTATTTCAGTGGCAGATTCAAGGGAGCCCAACCGGCCAACAAAAAAGAAAATTATATTCAAATTTACGTCTGAGAGTGCCATTTCCGGCCAACTAGAGGTGCTATAATCAATAAATATTCTTACCTCAGCCCCAACCATGGTGGGGCTGAGGTGGTCTACACTCCATATGTAAAAGTCCCTTCCTAGGCCCTCTATTTCGGATTTCTGGATCCGCCACTGTGTTATGAAAATATAGTGTGGAAATACAAATGTTAATTGCATTACTTAAAATCAATTAGATAGGACTTATAAAATGTTATAGATGTCAGAGCTTTAGGGGCTTCGTCTCTGGACACTCACCGGGGACTTTAGGCCGACCCCTGGCCCCCAGCGAAGCCCAAGACTTACTTCTTTTGCAATTCGTCCCCTTTTTGGGCGTCCCACTTTCAACCACGAATCGACGCCCTTGATCATGGAAGAGCTCTGTCATTGAGGATTTATATACCCACTGTAATACACACTTCTTAATCTTTCAACGGAACACACTACTTTGTATACAATTTTGTAATTATTTATTGTTTGCTGAAAATAAATTGGTTGACAACAAAATGATATATAAAAATGAACTGCAGTGACCATTTATGATTGGTAAATTTCATTCCACATATAATATAATCTGATAGAAACAAATAACAATTTATGAATGGCATATCTGTGGGAGGAGATGATCGCTTTGCCCATTGGTTTTAGCGTATCTTGGTGTTTGGCACATGAGTGTCAAGTCGCCTGTGTATTTACATTATGATTTTATTATAATTATGGTGATGAGGCTTAGCGAGTTGCTACCATGCCTAGAGCGTCAAGTATGTCGTTGCTACCATCAGCGCAGGCGCACTTGGGTTTCTTTCGGCAGTCCAGCTTGGAACTTTTACTACATTTTCGGCAAAATCTTTCACAGAAAGTTTCTCTCACTGTAATGATAATAATGATGATAATAATAATGATGATAATAATAATAATAATAATAATAATAATAATAATAATAATAATAATAATAATAATAATAATAATAATAATAATAATAATAATGATAATAATAATAATAATAATAATAATAATAATAATAATAATAATAATAATAATAATAATAATAATAATAATAATAATAATAATAATAATAATAATAATAATAATAATAATAATAATAATAATAGTAATACTGATAATAAAAACAATAATAATAAATAATATTAACAATAATGTTGCTTATAGCCCGCACACATAGTTTTTATTATTTATATACTTACATTTCGTTTTTGGTGGTGGGTTGCAGTCGCATGTAAAACAATCGTTTTCATCGAGCTTGTTTCCGTACATGCATGGGCGCGTGCATTGTGGCACAGGGCAAACCTTCTCCTCACGAACTAATAATCAGTAGAGAAATATATCATGTACCATTAATAAAATATATTAACATAAATTTATTTTATAATTATAGTTTAGTTTACATATAATTCTGAACGGTAATGAATGGTCTCT